TTACTATAAACCGTTTATGGATAATTTACACGTCAGCGGAGGATGTTTTTATTTGGACAATCGACTAGTTATCACGGCATGTTTGAGATCGACAATGCTTCACCGATTACACGAAGCCCACCCAGGCCAGTTTGCAATGAAAAGTCTGGCAACCCAATACATCTGGTGGCCAAAAATTTATTGCGAGATTCAAGTCCACGGCGAAAACTGTATCGAGTTCGTTAAAGCTGGTAAAAATCTGAAACCTCTTTCAAACCATAATACCCTCGGGAAACTCCCAACGGTCGAAGAACCAAACCAAGAAATGGAATTAGATTTCGCCGGACCGTTACCACTAGTATGGGAATGAAAAAAAATGCATATTGGTATGCGTGGACAGATTTTCAAAGTTCCCTTCTGCTCAAATAACATCCAGCGCATCGGCAAAATCTATCATAAACTTTCTTAGCAAATACATAGCTCTACATGGGATACCTAGAACTATCAGAACAGATCAGGGATCTGGTTTTATCTCCAAAGTAGTGAGAGAATTTTGCCACGAACATAACATAAAGGTTATATTTAGCCCAGTGGGTGACCATAGAGCCACAGTATTAGTCGAACGCTTAATTAGAACCATTAAGGAAAGGCTCTTGACCGCCCGAAACCATCTCTAGAATCTGCATTACTGAAGATAATAAAATGCCTAAGAACGGTAACACAACAGTCGCTTAATTGCTCTCCCTTCAAAGCACACTTTGGTAGATCCCTAAATACTATCTGGCATAATTTAGTCAAGTCACCATCCTCAGATAACCTTGATTAGAACAAAACCTTGTTATGCATAGATAAGGGTCAAAAACTCATGAGTCGAGAAAGAAGAAACGACTGGGACGCCCCCGACTATATTGAGGACGGAGATCTGGACGAGAACTCATCATCTTCAGATGAGATTGCTAATGCTGTGAGATATGTCCCTACCAGTGCTGGGTCTCCAGTGAAAGTGCTCTCCCGCGCAGAAAAAAGAGATGCCTTGGGCATAAAAAACTCAGTGCTGAACAACCCGCCGGGTAAGACCACTATATATAGAAAAGTTCAGGATAGATCGAAGAGTGAACCATTCTATAAAGAACTCAAGGAGGAAATTGTAAGAGAGTCAGACCACACAATTACTCTAAAAAATGGAAAAATAATACGTAAATCTGATTTTGTCATCAAAAGACAACCAGATCTAAAGAAACCGAGCCCGAGAAAGAAAAACCAATTAGTCAAATTCTATGCAACAAAGGGCCTGAGGAAGACCACGAGACCTCAAAGAAACGTCGGTTTCAAAAGTTCAAGAGCGACTCAAAAGAAAAGAAACCTCCAGGCTAAATTTGAAGAACTCGATATTGCGAGGCGGAACGCGGCGATGAATAGTTCTCGAGAGACACTCCATAGAGAGGAGGAAGAGCAACGAAAAAGATTGAGATTCCCGTTCGGCCTCAAAAGTGACCACGAGTCAAGCCCGCTGGGCAAACCCGACCATCTAAGAATTGGTGAAACGAAAACAGAGCGACGAAAAACAGAAAACTCATCAGACGACAACGCCAGCGACCTAATTTCACTAAAGGAATTAAAGACCAAAACTGTAACTGTTCCAGAAAAGTCACCAGAATACCTATCACCAGATCAAACAGATCTTAAAGCCGAAATCACGGAACAGACCGAACCGAAAATAGAAAGGACAGAAGTTCCGCTGATCGATCTTGACTCCGAAGACAATAATACAACATCTCATCTAAATCCACCACTAATTTTCCTGGACAGCCATGAAAAAGCAGACAAAAGTAACCAAGAACTGCCAATTTCTCCTAAAAATCCTAGTACAGAGCAAACTGAAAAGATTGCCGACCCGACCAAAATCGCGGAAACAGAGAAACAACAACTAGATGTTACTTCTACCAAGACAACAGCGAAATTGTCCGGCACTGCGAAGAGAAAAGCTTCTTCACCGGTGAAATCACCGCCCTCCAAAAAATTGCCCGGTATTTACGAACGACATAACACCAGACCCATGCGAGTTAGACAGCCCCCAACAATGTTGGGCGAGAGAGTGTTTACTAGTGTAGTAGACATATCGGATGAGAATTTAGACACCCCAACACTTCATCGATTTCATACCCCACCATACTACCCAACAATCGAGGCAACCTCTATCGAAATGGAGAGTCATCAAATTGATGTGGTAGACTTAACAACCCCAACATCACCGTCGACACCGGATCCAACGACAGTGGATTTGCTAGAAGAAAGTTTTGGATATTCGAGCGGTACATCTAACCCAAGTGGTAACCCACGCAAGAAGGTTAAATTCAGCCCCAAGATCCACACTACTTGATTCCACCCATCGGGCCTACCCTCCGCAACAACGAAGTCAGTATCTAACCCAATTGTTCTTGATCCAGACTGGCTAAACTCTCCTTCTATCATTTCGGCGATGGAACTCTTAGGACGGCCAATGACGCTCGATGAACTGAGAAGATGGACGATTAATCGAGCCGCAAACCGGGACGCAGTTTAGATCCGCTGAAGTATAGCAATCTTGTCATTAAAACTCAAACTTTCAGAAATCTCTCAATCAATAACTCTTTAAACTTAGTATATTTTTTTTGTTGTTGCTTCTGACCTATGTTGCTTAACATTACGATGCAGTTATAGCTACAAATTCATCTCACTACCGGCCTAATACGCCACAATTGGACTATCTCGAGCTACCCTAAATTGTAACATGAGTCATAAAATAGTACATTTATTCATTTACCAACCTTATCTCACCCATTGGGCGCTACCGCGGGATAAACTCACGTTCATTTGGGTGCTATCACCTTGCCTACTGATTCCTATTACGGGGCTTTTTTTTCCCGACCAGCGTACCCACTTCGCCATTCCCGAGTCCGAACAATTTTGTGCGCAACGAAAAGCATATATTTTAGTTAATTTATCTCAGCCATCAGGTGCTAATGTGGAATAATCTTATAATTGAACTTCTTCCAGGTGATTTTGGCAATTTTTGAGAGTTTTGGGAAACAGTTGCTATCTTAGAACTTTTCTTATAAGAAAATTGTAAGCTAGCGGAAATCTCCTTCAAATCTTTCTTTATCACTCACTTGAATTTCTCAATTTTTCTCTAGTATCATGCCATTATCATGCCATTTTCTCTAGTATCACCTTCTCTAGTATCATGCCATTATCATGCTATTATCTCGCCCTTCGGCCTTTTGTGTGGGGTTTTCCCGACCAGTGTACGCACCATCTATCCCGTGTCCGAACATTCCTTTTGTGTGGTGAAAGTACAGTATAACCAATTTTTTTGCGGGGAATGTCAAAGGTGATACTTTATGACCAACATTATAACCTCTATACCAACATTATAACCTCTAACTTATATTAAGCTCTAACCTATGACCATGCTAATTTTAAAATACCTGCCAAAAGCGCAACGGCTTTTGGTACATCGAGAGAGATTGTTCATTGTCTACTTTTTGATATGCAACCAATCTAGTGAGACTAAATCTTAATTCAACCTTTTTATTATCTCTTAACCTTAGCGTAGTTACCTTAGTCTTTTATTTAGTCTTAAATAAAAGCCTACAACCAATTGTAGAAATTCTAACCCGACCTGTCTTAAACTAGTCTTAGTTTAAGTTCAACCGACACTAACTTGTAGACGGTTTATCCTAATTTTTTAACAGAAATATCAAAAACGAAATTGTTTTTTAAAAAACACTCAGAGTAAAAAATTTTTAATTTTTTTTTCAAAAGCTAATAATTTTATCAGCGTGAAAGAGTTCAGATTTTTAAATTTAGCCCAAAAAAGAGTCATTTTTTGACCTCATTAAACTTTTTAGCTCCAAAATTGAGCGCATTAATTATGCTTTATTTTTCCTCAAATGATACGTCATGTTATCCTAGTAAACGCCGCACTCAATATAAGGCAATAAAATAATTATTTCTTAACTTTCGGGATTTTTCGTAACTCATATGTAACAAAAAATGTCATGATTAACGTTCTTTTTTTTGCATCAGTAAATTTTGCTCTTAATACTCTTAAAGGTAGCATCTTGAATTAAAAAATGAGAAATTCAAATGAGTGATAAGGAAAGATTTGAAGGAGATTTCTGCTAGCTTACAATTTTCTTATAAGAAAAGTTCTAAGATAGCAACTGTTTCCCAAAACTCTCAAAAACTGCCAAAATCACCTGGAAGACAAAAATTATTGTAGAAAATTTCAGTTTTTTTTCAAAATTATGCATGTAAAACATTTAGATAGTGATTATAATGTATGCATTTCGAACAAAAATTTCGAAACAAAGTTTTTAATTTTAAAAGAAAATCTATTTATACGGGTTTAGTCGCTCAAAATTATTTTGGATACAATACAAAATCAACTTTGACGAGTCATTTCATATAGCTTGGGGCGTGTTGTTGTATGTGATGTTCAAATAATGATCTACTAATTTTCTGAATTCCAGCGAAGTAATAACTCTCTTAAGTTAGTAGTTTCTTCAGTATTCTCATGTACTGAAACAAAAGTGTGGAATACGAGTTTCTGTGAATGTGCTTTCCGACAGCGGAGTACTTTTAAATTGGATATAAGGGAATTTTTGAAAATAAAAAAAAAATTGAAAGATTATTGTAGGAAAAGTTATTATCTTATAACTTTCTTCTAAGAAAAGTAACTATTTTACAACTTTCATAAGAGAATAATTCCCTATCTTGTTACATTCTTAGAGTCTAAATTTGTATGAAATTGTAAGATTATTTTTAAAAAAGTGCGATTTTTGGTCAACCCGGGGTCGTTTAACCCAAATTTGTGGGCACTTTTTCACCAATTGAATAAAGATTGCCAGAACTCTTGAGCGGATCAAGGGGGAGATTAGACTCCCTTACCAGACAAAACCCCTCAACCCAGCCCCTCCCCACCTACATGCTATATCCGCTACTGCATAAAAGCTTGTTCAAAAACAAACATTTGGGCTGCATTATGCTTTAATTTTTAACAATTAATTTACATAAAATAGGGTATTTGCCGGTGTATTTTTGAACCTGAGCACAAGAAAAAACAGTATTGTTGCTGTTATTGTTGTTAATGGTTTGAGATTGAAGTTAGCGGTCTGTGCCCTCTATGACCGGAGTAACATCTGGAATGTATGGCCTCGTTCCCCTCTTGTCCACTAAGTGTTCATTCTCCCCCGGCACGAAGTGACTCACACTGTCCACGAAGTACTGCAGCCGCAACTTCTGTTCATTCAACTCCCCCATCAGCTCCACCCTCTCCCCCTCCAGTCTGCTGATGACGTCATCCCTCTCTTTGATCTCGATTTCTCTCTTCTCAACTTCAGCCTCCACCTCCATCAGTTTCTGTGTCTGAAACAAGAATATGACTCTAAACTGAGACATTGTCCTCCTCCCCCTGGGAAAAATACTTCGACATTGTCCTCCCCCTGGGAAAAAATATTGCAACATTGTCCTCCCCCTGCGAAAAAATACTGCGACATTGTCCTTCCCCAGGGAAAAAATACTACGACGTTGTCCTCCCCCAGAGATCAAACTTGCACAAAGAATAGACAAGATAACAAACACTGCCTTTTATCGTCGATCATAGCAAGCTTTTCGGTTTAAGAAATCTTGCAAAACGATCGGGTTTTTTTTGGCTGTACCTCCCCCCATACACACAAACAAACGATGAAAAATGAAATTAATGCGTTTTTAATTGTCGTTTTGTTCGTGTTTTGAGCGCATTTCCCAGTTGATTCAACGCTCGGGGTATCAGTTAAGCATTCTAAGTAAAATTGATCCATTTTGTAGAAAAAATTTTGCTTTTATTATTCAAGGGGAGGGGTATAAGTGAAAAAACGCAATTGATCAAACACTATAAAAAATTAAAATTTGAGTTTTCAACTTTTTAGTTAAAAATAAAGTTTGGGTTTTCAATTTTTTCTACAAAATTTATTTAAACTTAAAATTTCTACAAAAAGTTTAGTTTTTCTACAAAATTAATTTACTTAAAATTTCTACAAAAAATTTAGTTAATTTATCCCCCCCCCCCCTCACAAGCAAACACCAAATTTTACTTTTTACGCCTCTTTATCTATTAATAAGAGCCAATTGCTTGCCTCCGTTCATTTTGAAG